CGACGCTCTGTAATGGATGTTCGCGTTAACAGAAGCGCAGAGCTGTCAACCTCTCATCACCTTGTTGCTAGCATAGAGTGCTCCGGGAGATGGAATACTATGCGAAGATCAGACGGCAGAGGCAACCAGAGAATCAAATGCGAAACATTGTCTACTGCGAGTAAGAGGGCAAAACCTGCAAACAGCATCGCACGACTGTTTGAACAGATCCCAAAGATGACTGCTGATATGGAAACCGAGTGGAAGCGCTTCAAGAGCGGCGTTCTCAGAACTGCTGATGAATGCTGCGGCTTAAAACGGATCGGCCTGCCGCTTGCAGATCAGAAACAACCTTTCTGGTGGACGCGAGAAATCCAGATTCCCGTCAGTGAGAAGGAGGCTCCATTCAAGAGACAGTTTGCAAGTAGAGTCTTATACTCGAATGCAGTACGAAAAAGCGCGCAAGACGGCAGTGAAAGAAGTGGCCAAGAAAAAATCTGATTACTAGGTAAAGTTCGGTGGTATTGGATTCGAACTTCCAAACGGCAAATAAGGTATCGGGCAGGCCACCCGCCGCCTCCGAGATAGAATGAAATGCTGTCTAACAGTCCCGAAAGACTAGTTTCGACGCCTACAGAGGATGAGGCCATATTTCAGCGATGGAGAGAGAATTTGGAGGAATGTTTTAATCCCGAGCAACCGCAGGAAGACTTTCCTGAAGAGCAGCAGGGAGCAAATATATTGTAGATGAAATCACAATGGCTATAGATTGCATAAAAAGTGACAAGGCTGATGGAATCGATGAAATCAATCAGGAAATGTTTAATACGTTAGGCGAAAACTGCATGTTGTAGTTTAGACGTATTTGTCAAACTGCAATGGCTAGGAGAAAGTCATCAGCGGACTGGTGAAGAAGGGAGAGAGGGAGTGATCCAATAATCATGGCTTTATCTTATTAAACCTCTCTGGAAAAGACTACACGAAGACGATGAAACAGAACTGTCCCTGAAATATTTAATCTGAAGATACAAGAGCAGTATTGCATCAGGTCAAGTGAAACACCTCTGACCAGATCTTCCCCTTAGCCAGATTGTTGAACAACTGCGGAAATTCTCTCATTCGATGTACATGTACTCCGAGGACATGGAAAAAGTCTATGACCGGATTCGCGCAAAATTTTATGGATGTGCCTGCAAACATATGAGATCAATAGCAAGTTGCTACGAGCCATCCACGTTAGAGTAGATGGCGTTAAGTCGAATCCATTCGGCGGTGGAATTGGTTTCCTCCAAGGATGCGCTCTGTCCTTTTCTGTGTATGTCATACACGGATAAAGTAGTCAGGCGCGGTCAGGACCATGAGAGCATCAGCGTCGAAGATGTGGAAACGAGATTGTTATTGCTTG